AGTGCTCACTACTGGTAGTCACTTTGTTTCCTCATACTAAATAAACAGCCCAAGAGCCTCCTCCTGGTTAAGCCAGGGCTGAGACCTTCAGATGGTTTAGAGGAGCTGGCCTTGAAAACTTATCACTTTTTCCAAACACCAAAATACTAAAAAGTGGCAATAAGTGACTGCAGGTGCAGGGAACTGTGCAGGGGTGACAACCTCCTGATTCCAGTCCTGGCCCCAGCACTGATTTGTCATTCTGACCTTGAGTGAGTCACTTGACCTCAGTATGAGTCTCTCTCTTTGTAGAGGAGGTGGTTGCCTGTGAGAAGGTGCCAAAAGAGCTTTTGCAGAGCTTCAGAACAGTGGAGTGAGAGTGCAGATGGAAAAACAGGAGTTTTCTCCCTCAACTGGTTTCTAAAACTGATCAAAGGATTTTACCACAGTGTGAGAACTGAAATGTGGCTGTAAAATGCTCACTAATAGTTCAGGTGTTAGGGTGGGATTGAGTCACAAGTGAAATCTTGCTGGATTTGTGTTTGCAAAGTGAGCAGGAATCTGGTTGTTCTTACTATAAACCTCCTGCCAGGCTTTAGAGTCTTGGGGAATTCAGATAAGCTGCAGCTTGGAGCATCTCTGTCTGAGAGTCCTGGGCTGCTGGTGAGAATTTGGCAGTTGTTTTGAGTGTTAAACTCCAGGATTTGGAGATGAACCTGTGCAGGGGACACACATTATGTGGTGCAATCCTTCCCAAGAGCTGTTGTGCAATTATATCCTGGAATGCTGCAAGCTGTGCCAATTAACTTCAGCCAAAATGTGACTGGTGATGGAATTAAACTTTGTTCACTGGCAAAGAATGGTCCTGGCAGCATTTTTCAAAGTGTTTTGGTGGTTTATAGTGTTTAGGGGGGTGGTGGAGGGCTGCAAGTTGGGTTAACCAGCACCTGGTGTAAACCAGAGTGAAACTGGGGGGCTGTTGATGAATGGTGAGAGTTGATGTCAGTGGCTCAGCATTTGCTGCTTTAGCAGGAGAAGTGTGAAGCTGAAGCTCTGGAATGAAGGAAAAGTCTCTGTTCTTTTATATCCAGTTGGTATGAGAATGTTTAAATAAATGGAAATGTGTTTGCCTGAGCTCTGTACCTATCTGCTGTTGCTGCTCATACCCTGATTTAGCAGCTGAAGCACCCAGGGGTGTCTGGTTTAGCCATAGCTGTGTGTGCTCTAAAGAATCTGTATGATAAAAGTAAATAATGGTTTTTTTTTCACTTGGTGGACCAGCCCTGGACTCAGTCAGTTAAGCAATTCTGCATTTTTACAGGGAGGCAAACAAGCAGCATGTGAGATGTCAGAAGTGTTTAGAGTTTGGACATTGGACCTACGAATGTACAGGGAAGAGAAAATACCTGCACAGACCTTCCAGGACAGCCCAGCTAGCAAAAATTCTCAAAGAGAGAGAAAAGCAGCTGCTACTGCAACAAAGGTAAGGCTGGCAGAGTGAGAATGTCTAGCTGATGAAAGGTGGTTGTGTGGGGGTGGGAGAGATGGAGTCCTAGACTGTGTGCTGTCATCTTTTCTTCCAGACTGTGAGGTTTGCCTAATATTGAGCTGTTTTGTGTGTTAGGTGGAGTATGTACCCTCAGGTCCTGCAAAATGAATGCTGTTCATTAACACCTACTTGTCTGAAATGCACTTAAAACTTTTTTTGGCCTGTCTGAAACAAAAAAAGAAGTGCACTAAGCCAAGTTAGAATAGTTGGAGCCTTGTTTGGCATGGAGTGCTGTTTCCTGAGTTCCATGGTTCCATCATTTCCTGTGTTAGTGCCAGCCCAAGCAGGCTGGTGTGCAGGCTGTGGAAGTGGTTGTACCAAAGAAAGGATTCTTTCACTCCTCTCCAGGCTTGCTGTTAGAACCTGGTCTGCTGGATATGACCTGGCAGAGGATCTGGGCCACACAGCACCTCCAGACTGCTCCTGTTGAGCTGTGGTGGTTAAACAGGGCAGTGAGAGTTGGATTAGCAGGTGGTTTGAACTCTGGAGCTTAAAGAAGCAGCATCTCACTGGATTGTGTCATTATTTCCCTCTCTGACCTCGAGGGAGTGGAGGATCCCCTGCAGCTCCGCAGGAAGCTCCCAGGAGAGCTCTGTGTGCCTGGGGTGTCTTCTCTCCACGTTGTGAGGAGACCTGAACCCTTCCCCCAGGTTTATCAATTGTTTTAACAGCAACTCCAGCTGACAAAGAGGAAAAATAACTTAACCCATCATCTCTCCCTGCAGCTCCTGTGGGAGGGTCTCCTCTGTGCCCTGGCAGAGGTGGTGGTGGCAGCAGGAGGGGTGTTGCCAAAGGGCAGGGAGCATGGTCCTGGGTTCAGTCCCTCAGCTGGCAGCAGTGACTGAAGGACTGACCCCTGTGAAACCCATCAGCTCGTGTGAGGAGTGACACAAAGTGTTTGAAACTCAGTTTGAGCTGATTGCTTTGAAGCAATTGTCATCTAGTGTTGCAGGTAAGAAATCAGAAGAAATAAGAAATCATTAGGGGCTCAAACTCACACCCTTTGGAAGCAGTTTGGAAGAGTTCTGGAACTCAAGACTTTTAGGACAAATGTTAAATTTAAGACTCAGATTATTTGCTGGTTCTTTTCCTGCCCTTTTTCTCTTGCATTCTGCTGGTTGGCACTGGAGGAGGGTGGCTGGAGGGTGCAATTGGCTGTGGCCTGGCTGCCAGGCTCCAGGGGGGGATAATTGTCTGACAGAGTGACAGGGCTGCCCAGGGTCTGTCAGGAATGGAGCTTTTGGAGCTGGAAGAATGCAGTGTGAGGGGCATGTGCTGTGAGAAGTCCTCTCAGAAGAGGTCAGCTGAGGAATCCTGAGATGGGAGCAGCTCTAATCCTGGTTAAATGAGGCTGGGTGCCTGGGGGTTGTATAACCATAAGCTCTTTGAAGCTCCTTAACTGTGTTACACTGCCAAGGATGGGGCTTGTTCTCCATGGAAAAAACAACTTCCTAGGTCAAACTCTTTTTCCATAGCTCACCCTGGAAGGTTGTTTCTTGTCTGTGGAGAATTTTGGTCTCCTACAGATCTGCTTGGAGTCTTTGCATCACCATCTTTAAAGATCTAATACTGAATCATTAACCAGAAGGCAAACACAGTCTCATAAGGTTAATATTTACTTTTTGACAGCCACATACAAGATTTTTCAGCACTCACTCATTTTGGCAGTTGTTCCAGGGTCCTTCTGTTTGCCCAGTGCTGACCCCAGGTCCTGATGGACACGGTGGAGCCAGTAAAGCCCACTGCAGGTGTTGGGAGGGGAGGAGAGGTGACAAAGTCTTTATTCCTCAGCGATATTACTGCATCGAACCAGAATCGGGACACCTGAGGTTTGATTTCTGGTTCTGAAGACGGGGTGGTGCCACGGGGAAGCCCCCCAAGCGTGGGGAAGCAGATGTGGAGCTGCAGAGACCCGCCCCCTCCTTTGGGTGGCTCGCAGGGACCTCCCACAGTTATCCAGCCCTGAAACGCTAGAGGGAAGCACAGACCCGTGCCACGGCTCCTCGGGCCGAATTAGCTCCCCGAAGGTACTTTGGGATCGAATTCTGGCCTCAGGGAGGGGCAGGGACTTCCTACTGTCAGTATTAAGGGTGTGCAGCACAACGGGGGGGGCTGTAAGTTTGGTTTGAAACTAGAAGAGCAACGGATCTTCCTCTTGCCCACAGGAATCTGTGGGGAGTGTGGAAAACTCTGATATTTTCATACTATACATATGAAAATAAATGGGGGAAAAATATCTCATTTTTCTGGCCTACAGAAGTCATTAAGTACTTTAGTTAAAGTACAATATAGTTTCCAGTTAACACTTTCCTCTTTCTGCCCTTTTCTGGAGTCTTCATCAACACATCCTGCAGTCTCATTTCTAAATGGCATCTATTTGTAGTTTTTGCTTTTGTTTTTGCACATTTAAGAAGGCTTCTAATAAAAGAGAGAAAATAGAGCTTCCTTCTGTGTCAGTGGCACATGAAGTATGCTGCAGTTTGGGGGCCTGCTTGAATCACTCCTGTACATTCCAGGTTGAATGAAGTGCTCTGTATCTGCCATGGATTGAGAAGAGCACGTGGCTGGTACATTTGACTGAAGGTATTTTATTTCATTAAAAAAAACCCCAAACAACAACAACAAAAACCCAAAAACAGTTCAGAGGTGAAGACTGGTTTGAAAACAAACATAAAACAAAAACAAACACAAACAAAAAAAAAAAAAATTACAAAAACAAACCCACCCAAAACACTCCCTTAGTGCTTTGTTAAAAGAATCTTCTGTGTCTTTTCTCACTAAATCTTCCTTTGAGTGTATGAATAGGTGGGAACCTGAAAGACAAAGAGCTGAAAAGCATCAATATAAATTGTTTTTTTGTACTTGAAAGAGATGCATGGTGAAAGCTAGAGCCTAATTCAGTATTTTACCCTTTGTTTCAATCAGTTCAGTTATTCCCAAGTATGGTTATACAGATTTTTTTTTTTCTGTATCCTTTTCCCCTGGGTCTTTCCCATCCCAAAATATTGTCTGTGAACCATGAAGAAAAGGATGAAGAATAGCAGAGTGTGCTTAACACAGAAAATCAGAGGTGAGCTGCTGGTTTGGGGTTTTTTCTTCCCTGATTTATAGGTACTGTTTGTCTGGTTTGAATAGTGACTGAAAAGAGATGCCAAATGAACTCTGGGCAGTGCAGTGCTCTGCCAGTGGGGTACCAGCTTCTAATATTGACCTCAACTCCACTCTTTGGCCATTTAGTTCATTTCCCTACTGCACTAACCAAAGCCATTGTTTTTCTTCCCCTCTGATTAGCTCTGGAGAAAATAATGCAGAAAAGAAGACCAAGAAGAAAAGGTATGTGGGGAGCAGTGACTGTGGGTGTGGCTGTTCCAGCACGTGGTCTCCTGGTGGCCCCAGTGGCAGGGGGGTGTGGGGAAACTGGGAAATGCCTCTTGCATTTTACTGCTTTTAGCATGACCTTGCTTTGGTCATAAAAGTATTTCTGCCTCAAAGACCATCAAGTGTTTTAAGCAACTGGGCAGGAATGGCACACTGTTCTCTAGCCTACAGTCACCCCCCTGCCCAGCTTCTCTTCCTTTTGTGTGTGTTTCTTTTAGCAGCTGTCTCTGAAGCTTTGTCTACAAAATGAAACAAAAAGTCTCTAAAAACAAAACCTGACAACAAAACCCCACCCTGAAACCAAACCAAACCCCCTCAATCCCATCCCAACCCAAACTCCTGGAAATAACCCTGGATTGAAATCTAATTTGAACCAAGAACTCTTCTGATGTTATTTCTGCTTCACTGTGCCTTATTGTTTGCTTGTCTTTATCACCAAACCCTTCCAGGAGCAGCTAGAACCCTGAACCAGAACCCTGCTGCTCATCATGAGGGGAGTTTTATTTACAGGGATTGTATGTGTGGCACAACCTCATTATCTCTGTGCATTTTCTTGGCTGTTCTGTCTCCAAGCCTCAGCTTCTAAAAACAAGTTTGGGGTGATTTTTAAAAACTGGGCCTGTTGCTTTCTGTGGCAGTTGTTGAATAAGCCACAGCAGTTTTTTTAAAGCATGCCTTTATTTCAGGGTGTTGGGGGGAATGTGGCTTTGTTGGAATGCTTCCTGGTGAGAGTCTTAGTTCCACTATCAGAAAATGTCTTATCAGAGGCTCCTTCTTGGCAGTGAGAACATTTATTGTTGGAGTTACTTAGGAGCAGGGAGACCATAAATTAACTGATTTCTAAGCAGTGCTGCTCAGGCCTCTTCCTGCCTCAGCTTCCTCATGTGCTGCATCCTTCTACTTGGCAGAATGATTTTCAGAGTATTTGAGCTCTAAACAAATGCAGAAAAGAGCCAAAGGATTTATGGGGGAGAGGGGGTGGTGCAGTCACTTCTCCCTTAAAATTTTAAAACTCCTTTAGGTTTGAATCATTATCTAGGTTTTATGCAAGCACTGTACCCATCAATATAAATTCCCTTCTGCATAGCTTGCTCTTTATATTTATGATGATACAGAAAGAATTAAATGTCCAAAATTCAGCAGAGTGTTGCCATTGAATATTCACCTTCCAGCTCCCCAAAAAAAATCAATGCCAAAGTTAAGAGTTGTGGCAGTAGCAAGCACTAACCTTTTACATAGTGTGTGTTTGTTTTGATATAAACAGTAATAAGTGAGCTACAGGCTAAACTGGAAAAACAGGAGCAGGCAAAGCAGCTGTTGGACAATCTTGTGACCTGAGGTGACACAGAGCTGGCTGCAGCCTCCCCGTGTGGCATTCTTGGGTTGCTCATTACAGCCCACATAGAAATCTGCTGTGTGAAGGGTGGAATCCTGTCTTGATTCAGTTGTTTCTTCAGGCACCTGGCTGTCATTGTGCCCAAAATGGAGAATTTGATTTAAGTGGTGAGTTTTAAATGGCTTGGGGTGGTTAGATGATTGCAGCAGAGTTGGAAAGGACCAAGAGCTCCTCAGAGAGGGTGAGGAAATGCAGCACTAGCTCCATGGCTGGTGTGTGGAGTCCTGTAAGTTAACACTGAGCTTGCTGTGAGGGACTGAGTGCCTCTCTGCTGGGGCAGTTCCATGCTCCTGCAGTGGTTTGGTAGACCCAGAGATCTTGGATCTGCCAGTCTGGAGCACCTGGGCCATCCCATTGCCTGATCAGGACAAGGTGAAACAGGGAATTTTACTTGCTCCCATCTCCATCCTCCTCCTGCAGCTGCCAACAGGCCACGTATTGCATCACCTGAGAACAAGTATCTGCTTGTCTCTCCCCTCTCAGATCCAACCATTGCTTCCCTTGAGGAGAAGCAATATTAAATGTTGTCTTCTGATGTTTTGGTGAGTGGGTTTCAGATTGTAACCTAAATATTGGAGCTCTGTGGACTGCTCCTGTGGATGCTGTGAAAGGTGATTAGGAAAAGAAAGTTGAAAGTCATCATTTGAGGATCCTCTGACTGAATCTTGCCCATATAAACAAGGCTGCACATCCAGTGACAGTTCAGCTTGAAACTAGTAGTCTTTTTTTTGTTAAGGGAAACAAAAATTAAGACTAATTATCTTGAGACTAGTTTTTCACCAACAATAAGTCTGTATTTAACCAGCCCTTATGGCTTTATTGTTAATAAATAGTCATTGTGTCTGTATGCCCAGAGATGACAGGTCACAGATGCATTGTACAGACTTCAGTGAGTCATAGCTTAACACATGCATCCAGATTTGTCAGCTGACAAGCCCATGGCTGATATGATATAAAAACATTAACAGCCTTAACACAGGCATTTCCTGAGTTGTTGTTTAACCAGCCCCTCAGGTGAAAGCTACCAGGTTGATTTTTGATGGAAAGAAGGTCCTGCATTATTGTATTAACCTTTCTGTGTGGTGTCTGGTGGAATTGGTGGGAAGGGGGGTGAACTGGTACCTTCATACTTCCTTTGGAGGAAGATCCATGGGAGGATTTAATTGTACTTCCTTGGAATTCATATTGCCTTAATCAGCAGCCTTGATCTGGGCAACAGCAGCCTCGGTAAGGGGTGGAAATGGGGTGTGGGGAGTGGAAAAGGCAGAGGATACAGAAACTCACTGTGCTGTGTTCATAGTTCTCTCTTTACCTTGGACTGATTCCACCCATTCTCCTCCACCCTGAAAACAACAGCCTCCTGTAGCAGCAGGTAACTTGGGTTCTTTTGCCAGGAGTAATCTAAGAACACTTTCCACTCAGGGCAGTTCCAGCATTTATGAAATCACTGATGAAGCTTCCACTGATTTTGCATTGCCAGAATTTCACTCCTTATGACAGTGGTGTGCTGGAAACTTTCAGGCCAGGTAATTGCCCTGTGGGTTACAACAGAGGGCACAGAGCAGTGTGTGATGGGTGCTGTCTCCAGCAGGGCTGCTCTCAGCAGGCTTTGTTTTCCTGCAGATCTAAAAGCGTGACCAGCTCCAGCAGCAGCAGCAGTGACAGCTCAGCTAGTGACTCCTCCTCTGACAGTGAAGATTCTTCTACCTCCTCCTCTTCTGATGACAGCGACAGTGATGAGAGCTCCTCCTCTTCCTCATCTTCACCATCCTCCAGCAGCACGTCCTCCTCTTCGGAGTTCGAGTCGGATTCGAGCTCCTCCAGCAGCAGCAGCAGCAGCACAGACAGTAGCTCTGAGGATGAGCCACCAAAGAAGAGGAAGAAGAAATAGTGTGGCCCAGGCCAGGACTGACCACGCTCTGCAAAGATGGTTTGAGCCCATGGTTGCCAAACAGTTTAACCCATCCACATTTCTACTGCTAAAACTTTCTCAATGTTTTGCATAGTGGTTCCTAGGACATGAAAGGTGTTAAATGGCACGTGAGACTTGCTGAGAGAGTATTTTTGTGGTTTATCCTTTTATGGAAAATTTTACTTTTTTAGTTCAAAACAAAAAAAAAATCTATCATCAGATTTGTTTATATGAGCTGCAGTCCAGTGACCTGGATGTTTACAGGCCAGAAGGCAACAGCTTTTTGTGGCAGATTGTGCTGTGCATCATATGCTACTGCTCTGTTCCTGACAGCTTCACTCACCTGGAGAAAATCCCCTGAACTACCAGAAGTTTCACCCTGCTGGCTGTAGAGCACTGTTGCTGGAACTGAAAGGACAGTGCTGGGCACAGAGGACCTTCCATCTCACAAAACCTGGTCTGTGCTGCTCAGCTTTTTATTCTGATGGCTTTTCCTGATGCTACCAGGTAGAGTCTGAACTGCAACATGAAACTTGTGTTCACTTGTTATCAATTGATACCTGACTTGTACAGAGGCTTTAAGTCTTTCCAGCTGGTGTTCCCTCAGCTCACCTGCTTGTGGCATTGTCTGAGACACTCACTGGTTCCTGCAGTGGTGGCTGTGTAAGAAAGAGGAGCTCAGTGGAGGAGTTGGGACTGATGCTGCTTACCAGTTTCATCTTTGTGCCTTTTTTTTGTAAATTATATGTATCCTAGTGAGAGAAGGGCTGGAGTGGGTGTTTCTCAGAACTCTGTTACCTTTCCATACAGGACAGAGTCAGTAAAGCCAGAGAACTAGCTGTAACAAACAGAAATGGGCACTGTTTTTGAGGAGACAGGAAAAAGGCTATTTTTGCTAGAGGCTCAGTAAGAAAAAGTCATCTTTCAATGGAAGTCCCAAAGGAGAGAGTTTCCCTTTTGATATTTTTGCAAAAAAAAAGAGGTTTTGTGATGCAAGATTCCCAATCTGTGTTGCTGGGCACGTGGTGACTGCTCAGACTCTGCAGCATAACCAGTCCTGTATTTTTATCTGCTAGTGTGTATGTGCCTGTGCAAATCTGACATGGGAGAAGCAAGTTAGTGCAAAAAAAAAAGCCCCAAACCATCCAAACATGCTGCAGGACAAGTGTCAGTGGGAGCAGATCAGAAGTTAGTTGTTCTTTTGGCAGATTGAAGCAGTCAGTGTTAGTAGTTTAATCTGTGATGCTGTCTCCTAAACTTCTGAGCATTGCAGTGCCCTTTTTTGGGGACGAGGCATCACTTGTGGGAGAATTCTTAAATCAATTTGTTTAGGTAAAATACAGTAACTAAAGTATTTTTTATATTTTTATGGAAGAAGTAGTGTGTAGAATTACTTTTGAATATTTAAATGTCTGAAGATATCTATGTTGTGTGTGTTGGTCTGTAATCATTACTGTGTTTTACAGAACACTCTGCAGACTGTAAATAAAATTGCCAGAAAATTGTTGAAGTCTTCTTGAGTTGAATGTACCATTAAATGGGAAAAGAGAATAAATTATTAAACAGTTGCCAAGTCCGTGCTTCCTGTGAATCCAAATCCCACAGCAGGTCAGTGTGTGGGGGGAAGGCCTGTGGGACATCTGACCTTTCACAGTGCACCCCAACTGTTGGTGGGGGCTGAAGCAGGCGTGGGGGGTCAGCTTGTTGTAGGGGGGCTGCTGGAAGAGGGGTGTGGAGGTCCCAGGCTGTGAAGAATGCAGGCTCTAGTTTGGGTGGCAGCAGCAGGGTGGGTTTGAAGGGGGACTGTGGTGAGGAACAGGCCTGATTCTGAAGGGTGGAGGGTGGGGGTGGAGGCTCAGCCACCTTTGCCAGCCTGTTGAGACCCTGCTGTATGTTTGTTTTAGTGCTGCTGGTGTTCATGTGCAGATGGTTTTGTCAGAAGTGCTCCACACAAATACACAGCCTCCTGACAGGAGGTTGGAGCCAAGTGGGGCTTGGGCTCTTCTCCTAAGGGACAAGAAGTAGGACAAGAGGAAATGGCCTCGAGTTGCACCAGGAGAGGTTTAAGATGACTACTGGGAAAAAGTTTCTTCCATAAAAGTGTTGTCCAGGGCTGTGCCAGGCTGCCCAGGGCAGTGGTGGAGTCCCCACCCCTGGAGGGGTTTCCAAGCTGTGGAGATGTGGGGTGAGGGACACGGGGCAGTGGGGACCTGGCAGGGATGGGGGATGGTTGGACTGGATGACTTGAGGATCTCTTCCAACTAAAAGGACTCTATGATTCTGTGTTACTTCTCCCCGTTAAGTTGCCTCTGCCAAGAAAAGAGAAGTCTGTTTGACAGCTACTGAGTGCTGAACCTTGTCATTAAATTTGGAGAGTTGGTCTCTGAACACTGTTTACTTCTGGTGTCTGCAGTCAGACAAATTGTGGGTCCATTCACAAAGACAAAAGGAAAAGCTTCTGTTAGGTTCTGGCAGCAGGAGCTGGGATCAGGTAACGTAATTACAGATGATACTGAGGAGACCTTAATTTAATTACTGGTCGGCTGTTGGCTCATGAGTGGAGATTTGGAGGTGGCTTTCTGCTTTCACTGGAGATCTGACACTGCCAACTGCTGATTAAGTCCAAAACCAACCACAAATCCCTCTGCACTCACATTTTAAAAAAAAAAAAAATCCTTAAAATGCATTTTTTTTTCTTTTTTTTTTTCCCTTTTCTTTCTAAATTGCCCTTTCTGTATCCTTTGTCTCTCTGTATTCTTATTTAACAGGATAAAACCTTCAAGAGCTTTGCTGGTTCACCCTTCACTAGATCACGTTCTGATTTCCTACTGGATCCCTTGGTTCAAAGTTTTTTCTATTTTCCAACAGGAAAGGTTTTGCTTTAATTACTCTCTTCCAAAGCTCTAGTGCAAGTACAAAAGATCATTAATTATTTTTTTTTAAAAACCCACTCCCTAGACATCATTACATTTCCTAAGCAGTTAGGTGAGACCTGTGTAGCTCCCAACAGCCTCAGTTTAATCCTGGCAATTACAAGTAAAGCTGCCGTTGCTAATTGGAGGGAAGCAATGGATGCAGGCTGCAGAAAAACAGCCTGGGGAGGAGGCATCGGCTTTCAAGGAGAAACCCTTCCAAGGGCCCTGCTGGGGGAGCAGCAGAGAGGAGACAACCTGATCTGCTAGTCCAGGCTGCTGTTCAATCCCAGATCTGCCAGTCAGAAACAGGTTTTTGGTTGCCCTCGAAATTGCATTATACAGCCTCCTGTGGATTGATGGGGTTATTTATTTAGGGAGGAGTCCTGAATAAATAGGACTTTTGCTGTCGCATGGATTTGCTTTATGAAGAAATAATTCAAGATACCTTAACCCCACGGATTATAATTTCATTTTATGAAGTTGTATTTCTCCAAGCTCTGCCTTCATCCAGACTCAGACACAGGTAGTGTCTGAGGCAGATCTTCACAGCCTGGGTTTGCTACACTTAATGCCAGAAGATAAGTGTGACTTTTGAGATTTTGCAGATCAGAAATGTCCCTGGCAGAGTGTTATTTAAAAAAAAAATCATTGAAACCTGATAAGAACAGTATTTTCATTCTTTCCCCTCCTTTTCTGTTATTTACAGCCCTGTGGTACTGTCCCAGTGAAGCTGCCTGGGCACTCCCTGACCCTAGAAAGGAGGGAAATTAAAGGGGCATTTAATTTTCAGGGAGGTCAGGGTTCTACCCCAATTTGATCTCGTTTTGTTGTTTGTCATATTTCAGTGTGACAAACCCCCTCAGGTTTAATTGCCAGTTAAAATAGTTATGAGCTGCTTCAGATTGGCTCTAGATTTTAAAGCTTGCTGTGTCTTTTCACAGTATTTTTGTATGGAGGGTCTTGGCAATCACAGCATCAGAGACCCTGGTTTTTAAAAGATTTAGATTTTGGAGTTTGCTGCCAAAAAAAACTGCTTTCTGCACCTACTCTGCACTTCATATTTCAAACAAATAATCATAGAATCATTTGGGTTAGAAAACACCTTCAAGATCATTGAGTCCAACCATAAACCTAAAGTAATAACAAGGTATTATTAATTTAAAAAATTAACCCAAAACTAGAACTATGTTCTAGTATGTTTGAACACCAGTTTGTGTGGAAGTAGTAGGTTTTGTTGAAATTAAAAATGCTCATGTTACCAGTATGTTTGAAGACCAGTTTATGTGGAAATAGGAGTTTCTGTTTAAATGAAAAACACTTATATAGTACAGTTTTAAGTTTATAAAAAATAGCATCCTTTGGAGGTGATTTTTATGGCAAGTTGTGGAAGTTTTGGTAACTTTGATGGTGTAATGGGGTGTCCGTGTGGGATCTGTGGTGAGGTGATTTGTGCTTCCCTGGGTTGGAATTTCTTCCCTGGGCTGGAATTTCTTCCCTGGCAGGGAGGTGAGGCCTTGGCCCGGGCTGCCCAGGGAGGTGCTGGAGGGCTCCAAAAACACGGGTGGATGTGGGCTTGGTTCAGCCCTCAGGGTAGTGGTGGGTGATGGTGGGAACTGACGATCCTGGAGGTCTCCTCCAGCCTCACCCATTCCATCCTCTGCCGGTTTGGGTCCAAACCGACCAACGCGCTGCTCCGCTGAGGTGAAAATGGCATTGAAAGGCAAAGCTGCCCAAAAAGGTGGTTCCAGAA